CCAACATACACACACACACACACACACACAAACATCTTCAAGCATCACAGTGATCACAAGATGCCATTTCCTGTTCCTGTAAGACATAACTGCAAACCCCATGACTATCCTGGATACTATATATATACTGAGTAAACCAGTTCGAAATGGGGTGTAGCCCAAATTTACTTTTACCTTATACCTTAAAAATGACACCAAAAAAATCTGAAAGGTGTATGCAGAACAAACAAAACAACAACTTACTCAGTGGCATATTCCATCTGTGTCTGCAGAGCCACAGAGATCAGTGAGGCCACGTTTACACGCTCCTTCAGAAAAAAGTCAGGATTGGACTCCAAAGTGCGGATGAAGATCAACAAGAAGGTTTTATTGCGTATCAAGTTGAAGAACATCTTGAGACCTCTCTCCGTATCCTCACGGTGGCGATAGTCCAGCTAAACACGAAAGTAAAAGAGAGACAGTTCTCTTTGTGTACAATACACTGATTGGAATAAATTGTCATTCAATGAATTACATACAACGACTAAAAAGTACTTACGTGTCATCTACAGGTTGCAGAATTCCCATAACTTATTGAATGGAATGAATAGAAAATAAAGCAGAAATGTGACTAAGAGAAATGAGCATTTTTAGATCAGTAACAAATAAATTGGACCATTTCATATTTCATAACTCCAAGAACTTTGAAGCAAAAAAGGTCCCTTTAGATACATTTCCTGACACCGCTGAACACTGTACAGAGTAGAAAGAAGAACAGATCTAGAAAAATATCCCAGCTAAAACAGCATCCATCCACCCACCCCGATATACACACATACATACAAATGTTTTCTATACAAACCTCTAACTCTCTGATGACAGTGTGATCCGTAACACCAGGAAAAAGCACTCGCATGCAATAGGTTCGGTAGTCCCAGAATGGGATTGAACCCCCACCACTCAAATCACTGGCCAGTTCGCTCATGTCAGTTTGGAGTTCCGCAAATGCTGCAAAGAAGATATGAAATGGCACAGATGAAACGAGAAGGAAGTTAATAACACATCCATTGATGTTTCAGGGAAAGAAGCTAATAAAATGAGAAAGAAAATGGAATGCGTTTACATGATGTCTCATCATTAGGGGTTATCGTAAATAGAGGTGTATTCAGAGTTTGTGATTGGGCGACAACCAGGCAAGTGCAGGATATCAACTGCACTATGTGTTCTGACATCTATTAAACAAGTGTACCTCTTAGACCAACCTAAAGCTTCTGAAAAAAAGTGGTTATCATCAGAAACGGTGCACTGAGAGTATACCTATAAACACTAGCAGATAAGAGTAAAAAAAAACAACAACAACCCCAAAACATTTGAACCTTCTGGAATTTCACTGACATCAGGAAAAGAATTATGTTGTGAGTGGCATCAAAAGGACTACCACTCCCCTGAGTCACGTGAGTTCCTGCTCCGGCACACCAGCAGTCAACCAAAAGTCCTCACCTAAAGTCTCATGGATGAAACCATTATAAAACCGGAACTCAATCCTAACAAGAATTGTGTTGTTGGTAGGTCGGTCAACTGTTCTATACCCGGAAAGTAACATTTTTCAGGATAGAGAAAAATCTATTTCATTCTTTTAAAAGTTGCATCTAAATTATGTATCTTTGCATGTTTTCTTCAACATTTAGAATTTGAATTTCAACGAAACATCTCTTGAGCACATGCATCCGAATAATACAGAGCAATAAATAAAGCTGGCCGACAGTATACTTTGCTTTCAAAGAAAAAAATGGCTGCCTAGCAACCTACCTTCTTTACACTCGTTGGCCACACGCGACTCGAGCTGGTCCATATCCTTCTTCATCTTCTTCATCATGTCGTCGTTGCGGCGGAACTTAATGATGCAGCAGACGCAGACCACCAGCATGATGAGCACCAGCACGGCCACGCCCACAGCGATGCCAATGATGGCTGCCTGTGACAGCTCTTGCTGCTGCTCATACTTCAGGTAGCCCAGCTTGTACGTCAGGTTCCTGCCAATCTCAACCTGCCAAAGAACATGTGGACATGTTAGCCTCGGTATATGAAATGTTTGGGTTACTGCTAAGGGCCATCTCTTTTCAATTTGGAACCAAACCATCTAGGGATCATTAACGTGCAGAGCTTTCACACAGGACCTCTAAAATGTTAAGGTTTTATTGAAGCTCAATCCTTATACCCAAGATTCGAACTCCCAATCACCAGGTTGACACATGAACACAATACCTGTTGAGCTACTGAGCTCCCCCGACACTCCCCCTCCACCTTTTCTGAAATTGTCCACTTCTGCCATAACTGCCATTTATATAATTGTAGATAAAAGGAAGAAAGCCAGTGCATTATTCAATGCCCTACAAACAGAGATAAGGATGTTTTGTGCACTCACCAGAACCTGTGGGAACCCACTGCCGATCTGGGGGGCTGGCTGAGTGGATGGAGGCTTGCACATAATGACAGTGCTCACTACTGATGTCACCACACACTCCACCTTGCCGATGTGAACTTTGACATCTTGCTCCCTCACGGCATCCAGATTTTCACCCTGACAGAGACAGAAAGAGAGACAATTAGAGAGAGAGAGATAGAAGATGAAATGCTTTATCTGAGTTGATGAGATGAGAGACAGAGAAAAAAAAAGAGAGATACATACATATCGCGACCCCAATGCTTTCTTGCCGTACCTCCATTTTTTTAAAACAGTGAAAGTGTGACTTCTTCTTATGCTCACTCTTTGAAATGTTTTCACTGTTATTAAAAATGGAGATACGACAAGGAAGCACTGAGATCGCGATATGTAAAATCCCCTTGCACGTGAACACAAATACATAAGTACGAATTATGCACATATGTGACTGGCTGTGAGAGTGTGTGTGTGCATGTTAGTGTGTAAGCACAATTACATACTATTCCATAAACTAGGACACTGACAATAATATAAAAAAAAAGAAGACAATTAAGCTGTTATCAAGCAGTGAGGGTCTCACATTCAGAAAGAGAAGCTCCGTATTCTGCTGATGAGTCTTTTCTCCATCCTTGAAAGGCTCCAAAATCGGGTCACGGTAAACGGTCATCTTGCCCTGGCCACCGAGTCGCTGCAGTTGGGAGACCTCGTCCATCCGGAAGCCAAAGTCCAGCTCCAGGGGCTGGTCAAAGACTGGGTCAAGGCCACTTATCAGTGGGGACAGACATGTGATGTTGTTGGCAGGGAAAGCCAGAAACCAGCACGGCTGTTGGAGAGAGAGAGAGGAAGGTAAAGGAACTGACCCGCTTGTAAACTTTTACACCCCAATGGATCTGATTTAGATCATTTAAGAGACAGGCTGCTATGACCGTGCCTGTCGGAGGTAATGCGGATTGAGCAGGACACAAAATTCCAGCAGACAGACTGAGATATTCCATTTAAAAAATCTTCCTAACCCAGGGAAATGACCTCATGAGTTCTGCTTGCTAGGGTGAAGAGTTTAACCACTACACCGCAGGCCCCCATGAATTTAGGTGCTCTACAAAACTATGTTCATTGTTGGAGGGCTGCATTCTGCAGTGACAGACAACACCTAGACAAAAAGTATGAAGCTGTTTCAGACATAAATACGGCATTTTAACCCTATCCATATGTCATGTTTTACTATCGTATCCATACGATATGGGGAACTCTGTGCCACCACTTTCAAAGAGGAAATTTACTCATTAATCCGATCCGTACGCTTTGCACAGCGGTCTGTCAAAACGATTTTTTTAGAAATACTGGAAGTTTCAAAGAGATCTTTGTCCTAGAAGTATTCTAAAATGTGAAGAATACAACCCCGGGGGTACAAAATGACCCCAGGGTGTACGGAGAGGGTTAAAGGATATCTTTGGGAGGAAGGAATGGTGACAAAATCAGTGCCAGCAAAGTAAAGGCCCTGTTTCTGAATAATGTGCTCAGTCAAATTTTCCTTAGTCATATAATTTTTTGATGCAGAGAATCCGTAGAATGAAAAAAAGCTTAACATAAAGAAATAAGATTATTAAAATTAACAAAGTCGTCATCATGATATAACGATGGCCTACCTCATTTATCATTGTAAAGCTTAACAGATTTCCTACTTTCATGCTTTTCAAGATTTGGGTCGTAAATGCATATTTTAAAAAATGGTGGTACATCATCATAATAATGCCATGGTGGATCAGTTTTATACTGACTGTAGTCTGACTTTGGCTGTTAACCTAGCATATTGACTATGCATACGGCATAAATCTGCTACTCACCCCACTATAAGCTTTGCCTTGATACCACATCAGCATCTCAGGCTTTTGGACATTGCGCAGATTGTCCCCAGAGGCATTCACTTGCAGACCTCCGCTGAAAGGGACAAACAACAAGTTTTTTTTGTGTTGTATTTTATGGCAAGTCAGCACAACAGCGGACACATTGCACCAGCAAACAGATTAGAGCACTAGAACCACTGAAACAAAAGTTCAGTTTGCTGGAGTAAAAAGAAGCACAGCAACACAACAATGGGCATATAGTGAGGAAAAGAGTATGAGTATGACAGATTAACAGAAACAATTGAGGTGAACAAAAAAAAAGCAGGGGACCTACCAATACCACCCTACAACCACTCATTGAAACAAATGTAAAAGGAAAAAAATTCCATAATACATACCTGCGTAAGACCTTAAAACGTGACACCCACGTGACGTTGGGATTGCGGACGTATCTGAAAACGACTCCGGCAGGCCTCAACACAGCACTGTCTATATTCATGGTCAAGCCAAAATCCTGGGACGTTGATGTCGGGGCTTCAGAAGTTGTGCAAGTCAGTGCAGTGGTGTTCAAGCTGAAGAATGATACGGAGAGGAGAGAGATTGCGCATTACTTCAGTCTGAAGACAACATTAAGAACTACATCAGACTCCACTTTTACAACTTTGTATATCAACTAATTAATTAGGACAGTGTTCCAAAAACATAATAATATGAGAGAAGAGTTTTACTTTACAAATAATTTCCTTATACTGTAGAAACAAAAAATCAAAATATGGAAAAAAAATTCATAATTGTGAAACAGAAAGACAATTTAAAATACCCATAAAGTATAAAGTATGATCTATGACAAGAGCCAAGTCAATAGTAAAAGAGCAAAGCCTAAATTAAAGCAAGAGACTTATCACAATTCAGATGTGTGCACTCTGTAACAGCTTTGTGTCAAACATTTGTTTTGCTTGAGGAAAGAAAATCTTATCCACACAGTAACAGCCATTTTGTGCAGGGAAAAAGCATGACACTCACCTCTTTGGCTGTGTACACGGGTAGATCTGGCCAATCATAACAGAGACGTTGGAGCCGGCATCCATGTGCTCACCCAACACGGTGACAGATGTACCACCTGCGTACGGACCCACATCGGGGGAGATGCCTGTGATGCGGGGTTCCTATGAAATGAGAAATAAATGAGCTTCGTTTTCTTTGGTTGAGAGAACAGAGGCATATAGGTGCAATAACAGTTACTAAGTGCAGGGAAAAAGTTAGACAGAAACATCAGAGGGAAAGAAAAAAAAGCAGGACCTACCAATACAGCCCTCCAACAATCCACAAAAAAAAGGTTTAAAGGTATTAAGCATGTATTTATCAGGATGAAAAGGGTAGGCTACAGAGAACAGGCAATCTTTCGAATTACACAGACATTCTAAGCACATTCATATATACACTAACACACACAAACAGACATAGACACAAACATCATCATTATCCAGTGCCAGATCTGCGACAGACATCGGCGATCATGGTTTTCCATTCATTCCTTTGCTCGGATGCTCTCAAAAAAGCTATGTTTCCCTGATCCTTTCCTGTTACCCATTTGTTTAGGTTCCCTAAGTATGTTGTTCTGGGCCTACCCCTGCCTCGCTTGCCCTCAATTTTGCCAGTGAGAGCTAGATGTTCAAGACCCTTATGTCTATTTAGGTGTCCCAAAAACTGCATTTGTTTTTAACATTGAGCATCCCACGTGGGCTTCATCAAGCACTACCTCATTTGATTTCTTTTCCTTCCACACAAACATATATATTCAAAATACTGAGATAAAAATTGTTTAAAAAGGGGTGCTCTGCGAGTGTTACCCATACATAAAAGTTCCTTAAAACCCTAGACATGACAGAAGTAGCGAAAATAAATATTCTTTTCCCTAATACAGGGTGCCCATTGGGGGATCGAGTCTGGTCGGGGCAGCTTGCTAGCCAGATGGAGGGTGCAAAGCGGGTATCGTGGCACAAGCCGATCGCGCCTGACTAATCACCTAAATAACAAACGCTTCATTTTCAGGCGGCGATTAGGGCGACCGCCGTCCGACCCGACCCGACCCCATCCGCAATGGGCACCCCGTATTACGACACAAAAACAGTACAAAACAAACCACTAAAGAGGAACCATTATAACAGAAAGTGTGCCGCCAACTCACCACAAAAGCAAACTTGTCATGAGACCTGTTCATGACACTATAGTCCTTGCCCACCACAATCATGACATGGTTTTCAAAGTTCGGTCTCGCTGTAGCTTCCTCTGTGCGGCATACAGTCCTTAGGAACACAGAAATATGATATATAACCTTTTTGTAAGAACAGAAAACATACATTTGGAGGGTGTTGAGCCATTTGTGTTTCTCAAAGAAGACATCTTGTTGCCAGTACTTATTAAAAAAACCAAAAACAATAACAATACCAAATGAGAAAGTCTTAACTATGCCTCTGACAAAAGAACGAGCAAGGCTGAGAAATTCAAGCTTTGTGCAATGGACCTTGGTGCTCCTCCTAGAGGTAGCACTTACCCTACTTAGAGCATCAGAAATCTCTTTTCAAATCAACGATAGCTATAAGTAACTTACATGTTGGGAGCCTGGAATTTGACAATCTCACACTTCACCATGTCAATCTGAACTTTGACCTCATCTTTTTTGGAGCCCAGGTTCTGGCCTCTGATGGTGACCAGAGTGCCGCCCTGCACAGGGCCCGACTTGGGGGTAAACTGTCGGAGCAAATGGAGAAGAATAAAAACACATGGACAACTGTGTGCTTGCAAGTAAAAATAGCTTTGAGGTACACATTTCACAACAGCTTCTTGTCTCCAGAAGCATTTATTTGATTGGGAAAAATCAAAATCATAAAGAGAACATAGCAGCATGATGAAAAGAAACAGATGGACATACAGATGGAAATGCAGACTGATAGAAATAATGATTGAAGGATAAAACTGATGGACAGTCAGACCAATATACTAATAAACACACTAGCTTTATAGCAAAACAGATTAACAAAGGTACACATACACAGAGACAGACGACCTAAATACAGACTTGCATATGTAAGACAGTTACCATTCGTCGAAGAGAAAAGTGTCTTTCTTAGAGAGGTGGTCATCTTACTCAGTGTCATTATAAGGTTTGAAAAATAAAGATGCAAAGCGGGAAATGAGAAGTGAATGTTTGCACAGGTGACTGTCTTATACAGGTAGCTATAAGAGAAAGTTCCCCTGTAAACGTAAACATATAGATGGACTGATGGTAGGATGGCTAGACGGAAAGACAGACGGAAAGACAGATAGGAGACAGATCAAATACATCTCTTTTCAACTTACACTCAGGATGCGGGGATTTCTACATATGGAGCCCTGCTCCAAGAATTCATTCTGATAGGCTACAGGGCAGAAAGAACTGGTAGTGCAGCGATTGTCGTGGCACCAGCCACATTGGAACTTGGACATCAAGGTGATACAGTCCCCACAGGTCTGGGCCATAGCACTGCACTTGTAGATCACAACTGGAGAGAAAAAGCAGGGTAGTGGAAAGGGGGGGGGGGGGGGGGGGGGGGGGTTGGAGAGTTTCTTAGTGTTTTTCTTTTGTCTTTTTAAAAAATCAAGGTCTATACATCTTTTACTCCCCCACCAACATAATTTAAATTATTTGGAAGTTGGGCTGCTTCAACACTTCCTGTCTATCTATAGAAGTCTTGTGTAAGTTCACAAGATTCTCTAGTACATTTTATGATACCATATTATTCTATCGGGAATAAGGAATAACATACACACCCGTGCACGCTTTCTATAATTAACATTAATTCTATCCTTCTAGACTCCAAAGTAACCATTTCCAGCTCTGTGAACAAAGGCAAATATTTTTCTGGAGTACATAACCATGAAACTGGGAATACATCACAAAAATAATAGCAAACATAGGGAAAAACAGTCACTATGTAAGGGGCCTCACCACTAGAGCTGGGCGAAGAGTCGATTCCGGAACCGACCCCCACGATTAATATTACCGAAGTAAAGTTCCGTCTCCTTTCTACATAAACCATTGGTTGCCGGTTACTTTTATCATAAAAATCTTCTTTTTTTAAAGATAAAAAAAAAAATAGAAGTTGATGCTTCGTAGTGCTCCGAAATCAAGGTTATCCTAAATCCTGAAGATGTTCGGAGCCAACCAGGTAAACACCAGAAAAAAATCACATGATGAGAAAGTAAGTAATTGGGTTCGGAGTCGATTCCTACGATTCCTAGCTTTCAATAATTGGGAACCTGGCCGCCCAGCACTACTCACCACTGACGCCCTGTGTATTGTCCAGAGGATTGTCAGCTCCACCCCACGTGATGTTGAACAGAACGTCCATCCGGCTCATGGTCTGGATGTAGGAGAACTGAGCAAGACAATAAAACAACAGCATGGTGAATTCTGGAGGTCCAAATGTTAGCGAACTGTGCTAGATGATAAAATAATGATATGATGGTGGGTGAAGTTTGGCAGTCCAGGTGAAGGGGAACTCTGTGAGGTAATAAATTAACAAAGGTAACTCTGGGAGTAGCATGGTTGAGACAAAACGAGGGAGAAAACTGGAGTGGGTCAATCTCAAAGTTGAGTTGGTAATAGTTTTCACATTTAATGTTTTTTGGTTACAAGAGCCAATCTATCTGTTTACGATCAGTGCAGCTGAATATTAATGAATGCAAAAATGCATGAATTACTCAAGAAACCCTAAAACAAATCAGTTAAAACGCAGTCGATTTTTTATTATTAAGGCTCTCTCAATCTTTTTTGACTATCAAATCAATATATCATATAAAGACACAAAGTGTTCCTCGTGCACATGAGTAGCTTAGGTTCTCACTTATCCTGGTGAAGTGAGAAATAATTTTATCCCAAAGTTACCTAGGAATTGAAAAATAAGAAAAGAAAATATCTTAAACATCACTCGTAATTCTAGACAAACACATTGCCCCCCCCCCCCCCCCCCCACCCCCGAAAAAAAAAATCAATTCAAAAACTCCCAATAGCATCTAGTTCCTTCCTTACCTCCATCTCCTCACACGTTACAATGTACGCTCCCCCATCCAAGTCTGGCGTCAATTTCTTCGCTGTAGCCGGCTTCTTGATCACCTTATTGATGCCAAACTGGCAGCGCAGGTCATTCAGCTGAAATGGGTGAAGGGAGTAGGCTCGAACCTGGATCTCCTGGCGAGCCATGGCTGGCACCAGAATCTCGGTATTTTGGTCCATACTCTCGAACCGGGGGCAAAAGCCTGGACCTGAGTTAGAATTGGATGCACTCCCCGTCCGCTGGAACAAAACATGAAGGAGAAACAAAATCAATTCTACTGTTGTTGGTTGAGTACCATTATTGTGTGTCTAGTCACTATAGGAAACAGACTACCATACAATTCTTCGTTCTAGAAGTGATTTATAGCACTTGTAACACAATTAGCTCATATAACAGAAGATTTGAGGTGTTCAAATAGAGAAACAAACACAAAAAAGGAGGAGAGAGCAAGATAATAGACGTTCGATAGGAAAGAAGGAGCAAGCCACACCAGAGCACCTGCTAACTACCTATGAATACCCCACAAGAAAACTCTGAAACAGAAGAAGAAAGATAGACTCATACCATAACGTCAGAACAAATGCTGCAGAAATGAAAATAAAGACTAATTAGCACAAACTTAGTTCTTGCACAGTATAATAAGTAAAACACTGTGCCTTAGGGGTGTAAAAATTGTTTTTCAAGCCCCACAAACATGAACCTGAATGCATTTTATTTTCCAAATTCTCCAGGCAGGGACTAAAATTTGGGACGAAGCATCTCCTGCACTAACAGTACAAAAAGTGCTTGCAAATTTTTTGCTGGGTATGGAAGTCAATTTCATAGGAAGTATAAGCAAAACTGAACAGTTTCCCTATAACTACATTACAATAACATAAAGATAAATGAGAATACCAAACCGCACTCACGAATATGCGGCCGATTACTAAATATACTAATATGTGTCACAATAGATGACAACAATGTGTTTCCTATTGGGCTCAAATTGATATTTAGATAGCTTCTTACTGAGAATTTACAAACTAAGAAATGAGTAAGGTACAAAATATTGCCCATGAACAAAACTTCAGAAAAATGTCCTAAGTTATGTTAAGATCAAATTGTACATCCCTTTTAGTTACCAGCTTTTTATAAACCAATTAAAATGAATTTGATCTCTCCCTCCCCCCCCAGCCACATTGGAACTTGGACATCAAGGTGATACAGTCCCCACAGGTCTGGGCCATAGCACTGCACTTGTAGATCACAACTGGAGAGAAAAAGCAGGGTAGTGGAAAGGGGGGGGGGGGGGGGGGGGGGGGG